AATATTTTTGAAATCTACAAGCCACAACGGCCTTGATTACCGCAGCGAAAACGGAACTGCGGTTCAATAATCTATTTAGTGAGCAATTTTGAAAAATTTATGTGGAAATTCTCAGTGGTTTTGTTCTGGAATTGGAAAATATATATTTGAGAATGACATTCAATGCGAACAAAGTGCTAAATCTGAGTCGAACATTGCTTTACGTCCCAAATAATAATTGTAAGTCACTTTATCGGCCATTGAAAACTTGTGATAAAGTTCAGTATCGGCTTCAATCGCACGAATCAATGGTTTGAGAAGATTCAGTTTATTGATCTGAAAGGAGATCCATAAGCTCATGATGATAACCTCCATCGATCAGTGTACATTTTAAGTGATTCCTATTGAAAGTTGCTAGAAATTAACTGAAACAGCTGAGAGAAAGGATCCGGTAGGAATAAACGGAAATAGAAAACATCAATTCTTAAGGTAACTGACGAAAATACATTTTAATGAGATAACATTAATAAATTAAAATAAGCGATTTTTTTGAACAATAATGAATCATTTGAATATTATAATTGAAAATTAATCATCTTTCAATATCAGCAAATTGGTATAAATCCATACATTACCAAATTAACATAAGAGTTGAAGGGAGAGTGACAAATCAATGAGTATGTGAAAACTGCAATATGATAAAAAAGGAAAACGTAACATCTGAGGAGTAACAAACCCGAAAATAAATTCGAAATAACTGATTGGTTAAATTCAGCATTGCGATTCTCTTCGTCACTTCTTTATCAGCGCGACTTAAAATTGTTATTTTTACAAGATAAATACGTTTCAACAATGAGATGCAAACATCCGATGATAACTTCAACTTGAGTGATAATATTCACGAGGAACAACAAACGAAGAGTTTAGGATGAGCATGAATTCATAGGAGATACAGCTCGAATTCACATTAGAGAAACATTAAAAATATGCTCAGAATGTCATTAATGAATAGCAAACGGTTTCAAGAAACTAACACGTCGTTGACACACGAACGATAGCATTTCATGAAGTATGTAGCTGCTTGTTCATAATAACTGCTCTTCTCAGGATCACATATTCGATTTGCTTTTGTATCAGCCTGCAAGGTTTTTGATATGAAAAAAAAAGAAATCGCCAGTTAGCAAAACGGCATATTGCTATCCCAAATTCCATAAAAATAGCAACGATATTTTACGGTACATTCACACAAACTGGTACGATATGAAGAGAAAACAAACCGCTCTTGCGATCAGTCGAAGATCTGTGCAAATACGATAGAAAATTGGCATGAACCAATTTTGATCTTTCTCTTTTTGCAGAATTTCCTCATTGAACAGTTGCACCATCTGATAGAGATAGTAGTGAAATAATTAATTTGAAATTCAAAAAAAACGGTCATCAACAATCACGGATCGTTTCAAAAGGCGTCATATAAGTGAAACATGAGGTGAAAATAAAGCAAAAGACTACACCGAAATCCTTGGAAGTTAACAAATTATAGAATCGTCGAGAAGTTAAATTCAGAATACGAAAGGAAAAGTTCTTTGAAAAAAAAANAAAAAAAAACTGACTTGTGCTTGCGTATCGAATGCATGTGCGTACTTGAGTTTACTGAGTGCATTGAGAACCATCAAATGAAAACAAGCTATATCATCAAAAACTGAATCGATTTGTATTCGACGTTCTGTCGCAGCTGTTTCAGCCTGAAATATTTGGACACTATTTTGGACAATATTTGGACATTTCCGCTTCTTGAATTGCACAGAGCTTTGCGGTGCGTTGTCAATAAAATGAATTTGAATCAATTTGATTTAACTTCAGTATAATATCTGATACATTTTCGAATGCCAAACAGTTCAAAACAAAAGAGTGGCTTAGAACAACTTGAGGGAAACACAAATTATGCAGGCAATACGAACTGAAAAATTGTCTACTCAACGCACCAGAAGGAATTTGCACTGTGCATGTGAACCTTTCACTGAAAGAAGTTGAGCAGCTTCTTCAGCACTTCTCCAACTTTCCACAGCTAACAGCGTATTCAATGTTCTGAAATAATCACTCAAACTTCGAATGACCGTCATACTGAAAATAACTTTTCGATTAATTCCAGCTGTAGAATATGACTTCGGGAAATATTTTGAAACGTATTGAAGAGGTAAAAATTACGATGCGAAAGTTTTCGCAATGGAACACCTAACAAAACGCAGCTGAAACAAAGCAATCAAAAAAAAAATTCAATCTCTTTCAAGCAAAAATCAGAAGCAATTCTTTTCGAATACCCCATTGAACAAACACTTAGCTTACACATTGCATTTCATTTAAAATAGCGAATTCACGTATAACCTCGCTAATATTGCTTGTTTTTGGACTCAATATTATAGAAGTAACAATTTAAGATATACAAATTTGAGCAGACACCACATAGCTTAGGAACAATCCAGGCGTCAGAAAACATTTCTCAATAATGCAGTTACTGCTATCTTGTCATCAGCTCTGTATTAGTTCGGAAATGTGAGCACAGCAGCCGCTTCATTTCACATAATCTTTACATGATACATTCGAATATTTCGTTCGATAATGAAATTCTATCGCATTCATTTTCACTACGATTCGCGTATATTACTAAACGTCAATTTCACCTCCGACTAGCACTAGGCGATTAAACTGGCTCAAGTGTCGAAAAAAAGTTAAGGTTCTGTTTTGCTTTTATGATGTGAAATGCAAACAAAAACAGCGTACAAACATTCACAGAGTTCCAAAATGGTATTTGTGTGTAACTGACAGCAACAAAAACTGTGAACAGAACGACAATAACAATTTTTAAAAACCGTAGTCATCAATTTATTGAATCAACATTCAATGAAACAATTATAAAGAGTAATGGAAATTAATCATACTACTTTGTATATCATTGCTTGGAAGCATTTCAGAATCAACGAGTAGTAATTGCAGTAATGCAGGATATAAGTAATGTTACGCAATGAAAGTTCAGCAATTTTATGTGCATGAGATTCACAGATTACAATCAATAAACGAACAACGGATACAGATAGTTTTATGATGATGATGTTAAAATTTGGAAATTGCTATGACTGAGGGCGACGTTTCTTACTTCGCATGACCACACATCGGCGAGTCTGTAATACTCATCGGCATAAAATTATCTGCATTTGTCATGACAATAACAAAGCGCAGAATAAATGCACCAAAAATATGCGTAAACTATTATTCAGTCGAAACATTCATCGAACAATTCAAAGCATTACAAAAATACGCGATGATTAAACGCGATCATATGCGCTTTCGCTAGCTTATTCTCATCGTTGTCATACGAAAAATGTTGACAGATTATTCAAAACGACATTTTCATTATTCTCTTTCCATTGTTATACGACAACCGTCCAGCAGAGTCTCCGGACAATTCGGTTCATGCCGTGGCCGATAGTAAAAGTGTTTCAACGTTATAAACTTGTTTAAATTCACAAAAAATAGTAAACTGCAGTTTACACAAACGGCTCACTTCCGAAATGCGTTCATTTCGGGAAAAAATGTTTCTCAAAAAGACTCCTCTCAAAAACATAATAAAAATCTTTCGAACAGAACAAAGAGGACATTAAAAAAACGAAGCTTAAAAATACAAAAGAACAACGCACCGATTTTTAAGTTAGCGATCACAAGCCTGTAACAATGAGATTTTACAAAATGAAAAAAAATTCGCAAATGAAACGCATTGCAAAATACAAAACATTATAAACAATTATGGAATATAACCAAGTCAACAACGTTATCAACGTTACCTTCTTCATCTATACAATAAACTAACAAAAAATTCCGACATCAATTTATATGAATGAATAAATAAATGAACATTGTCATGGTTAATCAAAGACCAAACATAAAAATATCGAAATGCGAATACATTCCTTCATAACAATTCAATACTGATGTCGTTGACGATCCGCAATTCCAACTCAAAATAACTGACAAGAAAAAGTGTTTCTAAATCGTTGTCAAGCAACAAAACATATCAATTTGCTGTAATGATTTTTCAAATATGCATAAAGAAATCTCAAATAATCGAAGATCAGATCAAACAGATCAAATCTCAAAAAAAAAAATCGAAGTAAAAGCAAAATGAATAAATTACGCGAAATACTTTGCATCATCAGCACCACACAATTTCAAATACTATCAAATATGCATACTGAAGTAAAGTCAAAAACGAATACCGTTAACGAATCGATGAAAAAAATAGCAAAAATTAAGTTTTTTCAAAAATTTTTGTTAAAATCAAAAGCAAATTAGTAGCAAAATCAACTGAAAATATAATACTGTCAATGAATTCGCATTCAATGTAACAAAAAATATACACATTTATATGGATGTAGTTCTGTTCTGTGACTTCAAATAGACTGGCAATGAGCTGATATGAATGGCAAGACGGTAGGCATAACTGACGTTCTCAGGCAACATTTGACCTGATTATGAGTTCTTCTGGATCCCATTAGTCCTAGCACAGTTGAGACTCTCCGAGAGAAAAAAAAAAGAATTGACGAAATGTGACGAATCGAAAAAGGATGTTCAACTCAAATATAAGTTGAACAGTTGGTTACATAATTTGAACAACTTCAATACAAGCTTGCTTAAGAGAACAGAAATACATTCTTTTCGATGCAAAAAACTGTGTTCATCAAAATAACAATAACAATATTAAGTTACTCACTCGTCGTTTACTTTGAAATGAATAAATAAATAAATGAGTTGCATGAAATGAACGAATGACTACTGCAATTTGTCGTTAATATAAGCGATAAGATTACGCATGAATATCGGTCTACCAAATGGCCAGTTCCATTCATTCTTTAATGGTCCATCTGGAACATCGCTTTCGAACCAGTAACACAACCAAAACCACCACAATCGTGACATTGGCGCACTTGTTCGTTGAGATCTGAAAAAAAAACAGCGATGAATTGATGCAGATTTATTTTTCTGCTTATTTTAACCTGAATTCTTCGAGCAAAAATGTCAGTGTTGACTTGTGATTTTCGCTATTCACTGAGGATCGATTCAGCACATGAATACATCAAAGATTCAATGATGCAATTATTTAAGTACAAAATTTAGTGAGCTCATAAAACAAGCTTCTTTCATTACGACAAAGGGAAAACAAAAAAGCGAGACCAGATTCGAAATATCGGAAAACCATTCAGTAACAATAAATTTGAATTGAGTCCACAAACAGCACCACAACATTTTCAATGGAAGAATTATTGATAAAGGCAAAGGAATGTTTTTTTTTTGCAAAAAAATAAATTGAATGGCCGAATATGTGAAAGGAAGATGAATTAAAATACTGTTAGAACATTAATGAACAAGTCGACTATGAAAACGCACTTCGGTAAATCGAACATTTGATGGTAACCCCAGAAGACATGGCTCGTTAACCAATACGCAATCAATACGTCCATTGTATAATGGCCACCAGACACCACCAATGCGGCAATACCCAAAAATGTTATCGGAGTCGCAATATATCTGCAATGATTGACCACTTCATATTTCAATCAGACGACAACCTTGCACCGTAGTATGCGACATTTTCAGTCATCACTTTAGCACATAACCTCAATTTAGTTAGACTGTTTATGCTCACTGAACGCAACATTCAATTCTGATTGTTTCATTTCATTCTTCCGTTTGTTAATTTGCAAATTACAATAGAGACATTCGCTCTTTCGTCAAATATCACACAAATTTAAGAACGATTCATGATGAATGCTTTTATCGAGGGAAGAGTGAAGATGCTCAGATTTCTTATTTCATTCCGTAACTACCTGCTGTCATAAACAATATCATGAATACGAAATTATGTAAACATGACTGAAAATAGAATGATAGAAAAAAGTACCGTAACAGAACGAGTCCTTTTGGAGTGTACTGTAGCTGAGTGAAATACATAATTGTAAGAACGACCGTATGACCACTAAACATGAGATCACCGCAAAGAATCTTCTCTTGACCAGATGTTAAACCCAACGTAACCACATAAGTGAAAAATCTCAAAATATCACATTATCACTTAAGTGAAAAAACAACTATGTTATATTGCGGTGATTATAAAATAAATACACCCCAAATTATACCAGGTTACGAGTGCTACAAAAAACAGAACATCATCAGCGCATCCGCAACCAACCTAGTAGCCACCTCCATAGCATACATAGCCGTTCGATTGACTTGAGGTTGGCAGATTTCATCACGATTATGAAAAGATGGTGGTAAAAATGTGACACCTAGTACAACGGCTCTTAAACCGTACATAATTGCACCAAGAAGAAGTACACGTCGTAGTACGATAATCCTTTCTTTATGCATAAATACACATATAAAACCTACCACTGAACTGAAATCAATAAAAAATAATGAACGTTCACCAATTTTGGAAGTAAACATTTCAATTCATGATAAACGAACAAACTCTCAAGAAAAAAACTAACGTACTCAAACTTTGAATATTTTAACAAGTTTTCGTGTTTTCAGTACTTACATTTATACTTGAACAAATTTTAAACTTAGTGTATATTATGAACAGACTATAATGTGATCGGGTGATCAATATAAACGAGATTAGATGAAGTTTTCACAGAAACAGATAAATGAATGAAAAAAATCAAGTGATTCACCGAATCAGAAATATGAACACGTAAGCATAAGTTTAAATGAATGGAATGCAAAAATTGGAAAAACATCAACCTAACAGTGGATAGTACATCACCGACAGCCCATGCCCACCGCTGTTGTGGTATGAGCATGAAGACGAGATCTGGCAGAGGTTGTCGGGGTACTATATCGTGAATCACAGTCAGAAGGAAAAAATTTAAAAACGCCGATAACATCATACAGAAGAATGCTACCACGGTTTTGATCACTTCTCGCCGCCATAACTGAAATTGGGTGAATATTATTAAAGATATTCAACGAGTGATTTCTAGAAAAGGCACATCTATGAAATTAATAGCAGTCTTGTACAACTGCTTAGTCAATTTCTTAACTGCTATATGTTGTGAGTGTTTACAGCAAGCTGCTTGACGTACACTACAATATGACCTCATGCAAATTCCCGTGCATATTTTCAAAATGTTCATTTCACATATTCGTCTACTATGTGTAATACAACTTTTTTTCTGCAACAATGACTGATTACATGAGCAATTCTTTAAGAAAATTTTGGATGGACGATGCGAAACATCGAGAAAAAATGCGATTAGTGCCATGCCAGATCAAGCGAACAATGAGTCACATCAGATAATAATAGTCCAATTCCTTAATACCAATAAATTGCGAACTGGTTGCAGCAAGTCAATATTTCTTTTTCCGTAAATTGCGAGACGATTTGTTCTACCGATTCAGATGAATAAGTCTCATATCGTTCGCGGCTGACTGCTTGAAACAAAAGAGCCAAACAGACCAAACAAGTGATTGATTATTCACCGTAGCCCGTTCTAAGAACAATTAGAATTCGTCATACTGCCAATGACAAAAAGCTTTGATTATTTTGGCAATCTCATACGTTATTATGATGGATACTATGNNNATAAAATTGCTAAATTCGCAGGGCAGAGAAAAATCACCGAATAAACCACAAAAATTGACAGCATATTCGGATAGGAGACATTACCTTTAAAAATGAAAAGCCACAGCTATGGGGCATGAGGACTGGACAATTGCAAAACGGCAACTTTCAAATGCTTAGCAGCAAAATTCAACGGCAAAAAACTATAAACTGAAGCAAATGGAGATGAACCGAAGTGTGGTTTTCGGATGAGTGACTAGAAACTGGAAACAAAAGAGATCTAATGCTAGTAAATAAAAAGTTAACAAGATGAGCCACTGATGATCGACGTCACTTTCAGTACCCGAGAAGAAAAGGCAAAAGGAAACGTTGATTCATAAGAAGAATACAATAGCAAGTATTGGTATCCGATTCGATTTGAAGTGATGAGAACTCGAGTGATTTCATTTGTTAATACCACAAAACATTCATGCTTTTATGCTGAACATACACAAACATGTTTTGTCACAGATTGCTCATAAATAATGAAAGCTTGCTTTATGAGCACAATTCTTTCCAACAATTTGTTCATGAACAGAACAGTTTGTAAATTGAAGCAATACTTTCCTGTGTAATTAATGGAGAACGAATCAATTCGTTGCAGCCGACCCAATTTTTGTTAGTGTAAACTTATATTGATAGCGCAGAATGTCGACATTTTCAATGATAGANTTCCCGAACAATGCTCCTGGAGATTGTTCTCCTAGTCTTCAATAGCTAGGAAAACTATACTAGTTCAGAGAAAAAAATATTTATGATACTATTATGGTAAAAGTGCTTTCTAGCTCAGTTTAAACGGCTGATATGTTGTTTTCATCGTCCGAAATATTGCTGACTGTGAGGAAGACGTCTATAAATAACCATTTCAAACAAACAAAATTTTTGTTGGAATTCTTCGTCATGAGTGCAACGAACCCGAATCGTCCATAACCTGCATGCACTCTTCCCTTCGATTTTTATGTGCCTGCGAATGTCGGGAAAATTTCGGATGCAATAAGCCCGAAGCTTTGAAGTAGATAGTAAAGCATACTTTAGATATAATTAAAGTATAACTGAACCGAATTGGAGGTACAGTTTAAGTAATCTATATTTTAAGAAGTTTTTGGGAAGTACAGTGAAAGTAAAATATAGCTTAGAAATTTTCGGTATACTGACAACTCTGCTCGGGAGTTTGAGTGCAAAATTGCTCCGGATTGTTTGAATGAAGATTTAAAAGGATGAAAGGATAGTGAAAATTTCATCCACACATATTAGAAAACGAACAAATATAATAATGATAAATATTAGTGAACAGTGCGTAGTGAACCACGGAATCGTACACAATGCGTCTGAAGAGCACTTAATGATTACTGACAATGATCCACGATTTGCTTACTTATGACTGAAAGACACTGCAGTAACTGCCAACTGCAATAAGTTGCCACACTGATATGAAATACTACACGAAAACTGCATAGTTTCGTTGAAGTGGATATGCGACATCATCGTCGAAATTAGTCTGAGACCAACGAATTCGTTTTGCAATATTGTTTCCATTAGAAACAATATTATGAAACGAACAAAAACAAAATAGAAACGATAGTAAATTAATGTAACGAAACAACAGTAAGATATGCAACAGAAACAGTACCAAGTTTAGGGAACACAAGGAGAGATGAACATAATTGAAACGTAACCAAAAAAGGAATCAAAAATGTTGATTCAAAAATAATAAGTGAAAAAATAAAAAAGAAACAAGTTTTTCTACGTGATGCAATATATGCGATTGTTCATACATTAATTCATACGGTAATTATGGCATTAGTACAATTTAGGGAACTTTTTATCCGAATTAATTGAACGTCAATTATATGAGCGTAACCCACGAACCAATCCTACTCCTCGTCATTACTGTCAGCAAATCCGAATAAAAAGTTCATTCACTTCATGAAACGAAAAGCGATTCATGCAACTGCATTTGATGGATATTCGTTCAATTATATGTGACATTATTACCATCATTACCGGTGCAAACCGCTTTGAGCATAAAATAACCTTAACTTTTCATTTTTAAAATTTCTAAAAAGCGCTGCTAACATTCCTGACTGGCCTTCCTATCACGACTAATTATTCTCTTTTCATTTTGATCAGTCTATCCAAACCGATTACATACAGTCAAAGAATCTGCAATAACGCAAGCAATATACTTGTTAAATTATAAAACAAAACATCATACCGTTATAATAGGCTGTTGAGAGCACTGTTCATTAGAAAGAGTACACGAATCAGCATTACCAGTAAGTGATATGATAACACCATTTGATAGTCGTGGTTCAAGAATACTGTGTGTTGAATCAACGCGTACACGTAATTCATGTGAATCACTTGATGCACACCGATGTAGATCATTATACTGCCTAAGGGGCATATGTGAATCACTTTGGTCACGTCTGTGTCCTCCCATTAGGAAATGAACCGAACAGACACGCACACATACACCCGCTTGGTGATCGTGTGCGGCAACACTTAGAGAGTGCTTATGTGCTTCGCACTTGCCACCACACCGATCAGCTTATTTTCGTTTCTTTATAGTTGAATCTTGTCTTTCTGAAATAAGTACCATCATTCAATTGAGTATGCGAACGTTACACATGATGCGACACAAACAAATGGGCTATTAATTCCTTCAAACTGCTTGATTATATTGCAACATCCACGAAAGAAATACTCATCCCAATTCATTAACCAGATAATTACCGATTTTAGTCATACGAGAATCGAAAATTCAATTTAAACTATATGTGCGTTCAATTCAAGAAATTGAAAAGAAGGGATTTGTAGCGCATTTGTAATAAATATATCAACTGTTCAACGATATATATGCACACAATTAGAAATGACTTTAAAATGCTATACAGCAATATTCACATGTCTGAAACAAGACCAATCATCTGATGACCACCTTCTCCAACCAACAGATTTCTTCAAATATTCGTCTGAATATTCGTTACATACCTCCCACTTCCGTCTTCGAAACAAAATCATCAATCATTTCATTCTCACGTCATAAAGACACTTTAAACATCAAAAACCTCTCCAATTTGCTCTCAGCTGCCATTCGAACTATACATTGTCTAACTGAATCAAGCTGATTTTGAATGCTGAAAACAGACCCATTTCAGCGACCCTCATTACGAGCAGGGAGAATTTGAGAATATAAAAAAGGAGTTGGGAATTACAGAAATATTCACACATCCGAAAACAAGACCATCAGGTGACTGGTCTTGTTTTTAGACATGCAAATTTTTGTACAGCATATATGTAAAGTCATTTCTAATTGTGTGCATATGTATCGTTGAATAATTGATATATTTATAGTTGTAAACTGATTTTTTTTCATATTTCCTCCATAATTCGTTACTAATTTCTTCAAACTACTTATGATATTACAACCGGGTGGTTCATTTGATATTGGCGACGTTTTACTGACAAGAAACGTTCTGATTACAAAAACAGCTTTTTCGATTCCTTTTTTCTGCATCGCTTACAATTTTATTCGATGGTTGAAATGAGAGAACAGTGGTCATACAGACTGTTTGAGGGAGGAATGACGGTTTGCTATAGGGCCAAAGAGGGGCATGAGTTTGTAAGAGCTGAATTTGTGCTTAATTAGTTGATATGTATGAATATTCACATTATTCGATAAAACATAAAATGAAACCAAATAATGGAAAACGTGTTTACAAACGGAACATTTTTCATAAAAGTAATGCGATACTGATAAACTATGCAACAACGTATAATACACACAATGCGCTTATCGAACAACATCGTTCTTCACGCGTCAGTGTCATTAAAACAAATACATTATCAATTTAACGATAAATCTTTTTTTTTTTTCATTACACACGAGTCGTATGATTCATGACGAAGTAATCTATAAACCATTAGAGAGGACTGAGGAGGATATAGTTCCTATGGGTGAATAATAGCCGGAAAACATGAAAAAAATCTGTTCGCAATCATAAAATGATGTAGAAGTTACAATCTGCGAATAAAAATAATGAAAAATCATTAACAGAATGTATTCATTAAAGCGCTATCCTCATCAAATTTGTGCGCAAACTTAAAAACTGCATTTATGAATGAATTTTTGAAAACTGACATGAAATAGTAGCAAATGTATCATATACTTCTAGATGTTTAAATACTTTCTCGAGTTTCTTCGACATTTTTTTCAATAAGTTCTTGAAAATCATGGAATAACGCTTGTTGTATATTAGCACAAAATCAATAACAAGGTTTAAGCGACTGACTCTCAATATAACAACAAAAATATAGACGATGTACACGAGTGCATTTAGGGTGCAGGAAGATGGGTATGTAGACAGCCGGTGGTTGTGCTTAAAGAAATGATGATGATGAGTTCAGAGTTGTTGAATGAATGACGTAGTAATCAATCCGAGGAATCGTTAAGCGTTAATCACGATTTCTTCGTTTACGATCGACGTAAGTCCACCGTATTATTTTCAATGTTCTCGAAGAGACGCAAATCAATAACGCATTTTCGCTTGAAAACAAATTGGAGATACAAGCGCAGAGTTTCAGCAGTGAAATAAAGATACTTCATGACAGCTTTATGTTTTTAGAGGATCATACGAATGCATATATAGGCAATATTCGATTGAAAACAAATTCCCTCCCAATCGGATGTGACATTGAGGTTTCAGCGAACTGAAACGAACAAAAAATCCATTATGGATAAACGTACCCGTTAATCATGCACTTCATTANAACGTCCATACAACAACAACACCAAATTAATCTAACGAAAAAAAAAGAACCCATGGCTGAGAATGCGCAATAAAATTGCATCAGTTCATACACTGGTTCATTCGTCGCTCACAAGCAGTATTTTGAATGCAAAGGGATCCACGTATATACACGTAAAATTAAAGTGCATTCACATTCCGTTATAGGTAAATAATAGGTAAATATAAACTGACGAAAATACACTCACCAGAAGCCATAAAACTCGTGACGGTTTAAGCAACTTGTATTTTTAAAATGATATTACGGTATTTGCTATAACATTGCTCTATGATTGAAATTCAATACGACTGATTGAATTTTGATCACTTCATTCATTTAAATTGATTGCATGGACCATCAAGTTGCAACAAATGTCGTGAATAATGATGAAAAAGACAAAAATAAGTAAAATTTTCGATTTGTTGGACTGAAAAGAGCGTCAACACGAAAAAATGCCAAACATTTCTAAAACAGTCAGAAGAGAACATTGAAAATAAAAGTTCATTTCTTTTACTTTCAGTGTTCTCTTCTGACTGTTTTTGAAATCATTGGATGAATTGNGAACATTGAAAATAAAAGTTCATTTCTTTTACTTTCAGTGTTCTCTTCTGACTGTTTTTGAAATCATTGGATGAATTGTGAAAGTTAACAATTTATAACAGAGGATAACAGTACGGCAAATACAATACGTTATAGTATTGAATGAATAAAATTGTGAAAGTTAACAAATAATAATAGGAAATTCAACTCACTGAAAAAATGGAACAATAGGCAGTAGCAAGTTTGTATCATTCGAAAATTAACGCATTATTACACTGTCATTATTCATAAACATCAATGTAATCAAAATGCAATCATGCCGTTACATATGAAAGAAAGAATTAATTCACCTGACATCTTGCTACGCATGAATTACAAAAATAAAAACGCATTTTGATTTGGAACAACGAAATTCGACATTTCATGAACCTTGGTAGAACGTTTGACGCTTGTGAACGAAAAGTTGATTATGAGATGGGCACGACTCAGATTCATGCTTAGACTTAGACTCAAGCCTAAGGCACAGGATTAGGTTTAAGCTTAAACATATGATCAAACACCACAAGGTCAAAGTACATGTGGCCATTACGTACTTGTTTATTTATTCATCATATTTCAAGGACTGTATTGATTTAGTGATCTTATTGTTAGTAGAGAGAAACGCGAGAGACAAATGGTATTCCCAAAGACAAAGGGATTCTAATCATATTAGTTCCTCTATTATTGGTAACGTATAAGCACGCCATCAGTCATATAAGAACAGGAATGACTCGCATTTAGCAATGTTCCTTAATTAAATAAAGCATTCAATCATATTTCATGCAAACAGAACAC